ACGAGAGGCAAAGTCCACTTTGCATGTTAGTCGACCTTCCTAAAGTCCATAAAGCAAGCCTAGTTAGCATGGCAATAGCAGGGAGGAGGAAAGAAAAGACCTTTTTTACCGTATTCACTTAATTACGAGCGGTATTTTTATTTTGCTTTGGCATAATGAGGTATTTGGGTCCGCCAGTGGACATGTGGGCAATGGGAGTCCTGCTGTATTACATGCTGATGGGCTTCCTGCCCTTTCGTGGTCGAACGGTGGGACAGTTACGCAAACTCATCCTCGAGACTAGTGCCAGTGGCACATTTCCAGTGCCTCCACGAGTGTCGGAGGGAGCGGCAGAGTTGATTCGCAAGCTGCTTTCACGTAATCCCAAGAGTCGCCCACGTGCCGCCAAGTTGATTGAGGAGGCCACCAAGGCTTCAGCTCTAATTCGTCCTCTGTCGATGGATCGAATGGTTGCTGTTGGCAGTGCCTCATCCTCGTGGTGCTGTAGGAGTGAGCCCTGGTTGGCTCATCAAGTCTTTCCCACTCCCTATCCCAAAGTCTTCACTACGCAGTCTGTTGGCGTAAGTCGCCACAACACATTTGATACTCACTCCATCGGTAGGCGTCTTCTTTAAACGTGTGCTTACTTACGCATGTCCGTGCAAAGGTCAAGGAAAGGAAACATTAATATGATTGGAGTGACAGGCCTGAGGGACTGTCATATGAAACAGGAATCATGTAATCATTTGTTCTACCCACTTAGGGTTTGGGTGGCTACTTACTTCTGGCAGACGCCGGTAGAAAGGCCTCCCAAATCATCCTTTCCACTACTGGTAAGGGGAGGTCGTCTCCACCATCAGTGACCAAAGCGAGTGCAGAGACAAGTCCTCAACACAGACCGACACCACGAATCGACATAACTCGTGCCGACTCAACTGCCAACGTCTCAGTTAGTGGTGAATCCACCGCTACAGCATCGAAGGCTCTGACGCATTTGAGTGCTTCTGAGGAGGCTATTGCGCAATCGGAGATTGAGGCAGCTAAACTACTGCTTCAGTTGGGAATCTCCTCTGATCATCTCTCTGTGCCACGCAACAATGATGCCAGGAATTCGATCAGTGGGGCTTACCGAATAATGCTACATCAATTGCAAAGGTGCGTCAATCGGTGTTGAAGGTGGGGAAGGGAGAGGAGAAGCAAAACGCCTTTCAATTTGATCACCTTCTACTAGGTATCGGAGGCTCAGCAACCTGCCTCCTTTCCAAGGCGGGAACAACAGCAACAGTGGATCGGTGGAAGCGGCGTCGGTGGAGGGGGCCAAATCCCCTACCTCCAAACAGAAAGTGAGAATGAAGAAGTCTGCTTCAGACATACCTCCTACCTCATCGCATCGAAAAAGCGCAGACAAGTCCTGTTCCCTCTTATAAGAGACCTACATTCAACTCAATCCCTAATGCCTAAATCACCCTCACTTCCATTATGACATCCTTTTCACCGTCACATGTCCTAAGGTCTATTGCTTTACTTGTGCCTTTTGGGCGAACATCAGTCACAGGTGAAGTCAGCTTTGTGATTCAGCCAACGGCTGTCGGGAGAGGTGGTGAGGGGAGATGCGACAAGGACGGAAGCAAACTAAGAGCATCTGCAAAATCCGCCCTCATTAGTCAAATTAAGGTGCCACTGTCACACGCTTTTACCATCAACTGAAATTGAGAAGTGGCTTGACATTCAGAGAAGAGTGGAGATTTGACATGCTCTGCCGTAACATCCATTCTAGGCTACGGACAAAGGTGAGATAACGCTGAGTACAGGGCTGGTAGGCGCTCCACCTTGGCACTAGGCAGAGAGACCTTCTATCGCGGAAATGGGAAGTAGAAAGGGAGGCAGCATTGTATGCTAGAAAAGACATTGAGAGTGAGGGTTACGCAATTTCGATCACAATGTGAATATAACA